AGAACGGATTATCCAGGAGGCTGAGCTCTATGAGGAGAAATGTGGGGTCAAGATTGTTGGAAGATCTATCAACAATCTGCGATATACAGATGATACAACCCTGCTTGCTGAAACTGAAGCGCTTACTGCAGAGGGTCAAGGACTGCAGCCTCCAATATGGATTGAGGCTCAATGTCAAGAAGACAAAGATTCTCACGACTGGACCAAATGGTGGCATCAGGATGGATGGTGAAGAGATTGAGATTGTTCACAGCTTTAGTTTGCTTGGCTCCACAGTCAACACTCTCGGCACCAGCAGGCAGGAAATTAGAAGACGTATTGCCATGGGAAAGTCTGCTATTAGGGACCTCTCCAAAGTACTGAAGAGCAATGGTGTCTGTTTGGAGACGAAGGTGTCTCTGATATAGGCCATGGTCTTTGCTGTCAGTTGTTATGCATCAGAGAGTTGGACAATGACTAGGGAGGATAGAAGGAGAATTGATGCCTTTGAGCTGTGGTGCTGGAGAAGAGTACTGAGGGTGCCGTAGACTGCTAGGAAAACAAACAGATTCATCCTGGAAAGGGTCAAACCAGGCTGCTCCTTGGAGGCAAGGATTTTGAGGCTCCATTTAACATACTTTGGACATGTTCAAGGAGGGACAGGTCCTTGGAGAGGGACATCATACTTGGTAGGGTGGAGGAACAGCGCAGAAGGGGAAGGCCCCCTATGCTGTGGATTGATTCAGTGATTGGGGTAATCGGGATGGGTGTGTCAGAGACGGTGCGATTGGCACAAGGCAGAGCAGAGTTTAGGGCTATTGTACATAGGGTTGCTATCAGTCGCAAGCGACTCGACGGCACATAACAACAACAACATTTTCAATTGCAACTCCTGTTTCAGATACCGTAAATATATTGGAAAATAATCAATACAACTCCTGGCAGTAGGTATATGTAACTACTGATGTAACAAATACTTTTTTGTTCTATATCCCATTTATAAGGAACAACAGAAGCAAATTGACTTTTATCTGCCAGGGCCAACAGGATACCCTTACAATCTTATTTGCAGAACCTTTGGCTTTCCTAATCTTTGTCATAATAAGGGCTGGGGAATTCTTCATAGTATTTACATTATGCAAAACATCCCACTGACATGTGATCCCAATAACATTATGCTGATAGTATCCCAAGATCTGGGAGTAACAGGCCTTTTAGATGTCTTAACAAGAATTTATGCAAATCAGAGTGGGAAATAAATCCTGCAAAAACTTAAGACTGAACTTTTCATTGAAGTTTCTGGTTATTCAGTGTTACATAGTTTGTCAAATTATCCCCAAAGTGAAAAGCACGTATTTGGATTATGTACTACAATAAAAAGGGCATTGATTTGTGGTTTTGGTTTGGTAGACAATATTCACTACATTTAATTGTCTTGTTTTTACTTATTTACTAAGTAACCTAAGGAACTCCGATAACATAAGTGAGTGAGGAGTTGGCACAGCCAACCCAAAGGCAGGTGGTTCGAATCCACTAACTGCCATGAGAGAAAAATGGCAAATTCTGTCCCATGAGATTTACAGCTTCTAAAATCCTACTGGAGCATTAGCTATAAGTTGGTTCCAACTATGGCATGTGACAACAACAATCATCAAGTACCTGTAAAATCAATTATCTTTGAACCAAACCCTAGCAGTAAAATGATTTATAGTTGAAATACTAACCAAAAGGTTGGCAGTTTGGGTCTACCAGCCAGTACATGGAGAAAGACAGACAATATTGTCTCTTGTTTACAGCTGCAGAAACCTCATGCAGGCTCTGAAGCAGGTCCACTGTGCTGATTCAAACACCTGTCTCTTTTTGGTTTTTTTGGTTCTCCAAGTCTTTTAGCATCAATTCTTGCTCCATTTGCCTTCCTGTCATCAGTCTACTCCAGTGATCCCATGGGGAGTTCCTTATGGCTAAGAGAATGAGGAGAAAAAAAAAGAAATATTATGACTTCATTTGTAGATGTTTCTGCACAGTATACCAATTGACCTCTCAAGGTTACCTGGATGCAATGTTGAAGAAACATCTTCTTGGTTGGCAGAATTTGGAGTGGTACATTTAGATACATACCTTGTCTCGATTTAGAGATGGACAGATGCACAGATTCTCAGGAAGTTATTTATGGTTTAGCAAAGCAGTGGAGATCTTGAAAGTACTCTTGTTGTAAGATTGGTAATAAGGAATACTGAGAAGTGCGTAGACTTCTCAGACTGACAAGTGCAAGTGAAGATATTTGTGTCCTTTGTGAATACTCCACAACAGAGGGCGTTCAATAACCATATGTACAACATATTCACACACTCGGTAGCCTCACTAGCAAAGCACCCATAGTGACAGGGATAGAAGTGCAACAATATTGACTTTCTGTCACCTAGCTACTGAATGCCTATCTTTCTGAATCAAAGACTTTATAGAATGAACCTGAGTGACCAGCCAGTCATTGGAAAATTGATTATATTGGAAATTTGAAGGACTCAGAGATATATCCTCTTCAGAATAGGCAATAATCTGTCTTCCTTGCCAGAATCACCATGTATGTAAACAAGGTATGTTATGTTCTGACATGATATTCTGTCCACATTGTAACCTAGGAAATAACTTTTTAAGAGCAAAAGAAGTATGCAGTGAGCTCAGGGCCGTAGGATGGGTTGTTAGCTTGGTAGAAAGGAAGAATTGTCTACTGAAGACTCTATTCTAAAGCCAATTGGGAGGCAACAATGTAAACAGATTTTATATTGCAGAGTGAACTATTTGCTGTTGCCTTTCATATTGTGAATCAAAGATCAGAAATGAAAGTGGATCATTTCATAGTTTAATATCTCATACCACTTCCCACTCCATTTTCCTTTTGAGGCTGATGCATTTGTGAATGTTCTAAAATAATCCCTCTCTCAAAATAAACTTGTTGTTGTTGATGGCCCTCAAGTCGAGCATGACTCATAGCGACCCTATGAACAAAGGCCTGAAATCTTTATATATTGTCATTTATCAAATTTCATAGAGTTTCCAGGGGCATGTTGTTTAGGAAGTGGATGCCACTCTTGCTTTCAAGATAAACTAGTTGTTATCAAACAATATTAAATGATCCAGGAAGCATTAAAAGGGGATGGGGGAAGAGGATGGGAGGAGTATACAGAGTCACTGTACCAAAAAGAATTGACTAACATAGAAGAATTGCATGAAACAATATATGATCAAGAGCCTGTGGTGATGAAGGAGGAAGTTCAAGCTGCTTTGAAGGAATTGGCAAAAACCAGGAATTGACAGTATACCAATTGACAATATTTCAACAAACAGATGATGCACTGGACATGCTCTCCAAGTTGTGCCAAGAAATTTGGAGGATAACTTCCTAGGCAATTTTTTTCCAAAAAAAAGGTAACCCAACAGAATTCAGAAATTATAGAACAATATCACATACAGGCAAAATCCTGTTGAAAATTATCCAAGAATGACTGGATCAGCACATCAGCAGAGAATGGACAGATGTGAAGGCTGGGTTTAAAAGAGGCCATGGCACTAGGGATATTATAGCAAATTTTAGATCCATCTTAACTGAAAGCAGAGAGTACCAGAAGAATGTCTTTCTGTGTTCCATTGACTATGCAAAGGCATTTGACTGTGTTGATAACAAAAAACCTGTGGCTAACTCTAAGAAGAATGGAAATCCCAGAACACTTGATTGTGCTTATGTGAAACCTATACTTGGACCAGGAAGTAGTCATCAGAACAGAACAAGGAAACACTGCATGGTTCAAAATCAGAAAAGGTGTGAATGTTAAGAATGCACCCTATCTCCATACCTTTTCAATCTATATGTGGAACAGATTATCCAGGAGTCTGGGCTCTATGAGGAGGAATGTGACATCAGGATTGGAGGAAGACTCATCAAAAACCTGCATTGCTCAGATGACATAACCTTGCCTGCTGAAACTGAAGAGGACCTGAGGTATTTGCTGCAGAAGGTCAAGGACTGCAGCCTTCAATATGATTGAAGCTCAATATCAAGAAAACGAAGATTCTCACCATTGAGCTGATTGGCAGCATCATGATAGATGGTGAAAACATTAACATTGCTAATAGCTTCAGCTTGCTTGGCTCCACAATCAAGACTCTTGGTACCAGAAGCCAGGAACTCAAAAGATGAACTGCATTGAAAAAAGCTGCTGTCAGGGACCTCTTCAGAATACTGAAAAGCAACCATGTCAGTCTAGAGACTAAGGTTCGGCTCAGCCAGGCCATGGTTTTTACAATTACATGGTATGCATCAGAAAGCTAGACAATAGCTAAGGGTGACAAAAGAAAAATTGATGCCTTTGAGTTGTGGTGCTGGAAAAGAGTACTGAATACACTATTAACTTCTAGGAGAGCAAACAGTTCATCCTGGAGAGGATGAAACCATGCTGCTCCTTGGAAGCAAAGTTCCTGAAGCTCAACCTGACATCTTTGGGGCTGTTTCAAGGAGGGGCCAGTCCTTGGAGAAAGACATCATACTTGGAAAGGTGGAGGGAGAGTCAAGAGAGGAAGACCCTCAATGAGATTAATTGGTTCAGGCACTGGTGTAATGGGGGTAAATGTGTCCGAGATGATGAGGTTTGTTCAAGATAGAGCAGGGCTCAGAGCTGTTGAACACAGGGTCACTATGAATTGCAAGCAAATTGATGCCATATAATAACAACATCAAATTGACTCTACAGGACAGAGTAAAACTTTTCCACAGGATTTCCAAGGCTATTATCTTTATGGAAGCTGATTGCTACATTTTTTCTCCAAGAGTAATGGATAGATTAGGAACCCCCCAGTCTTCTGGTTTGCAGCCAAGAACTTTAACCACTGGTCTACTAGAACTCCTATATTGTTGCCTTTATTGTTATTTGGAGCTCTCAAGTCAACTCATAGCTACTCTATGTACAATAGCATGAAACCTTACCCAATTCTGTGCTATCCTCAAAAATCTCTGCAATTCTTTTTTTTCTGTATACAGAGATTTTATTCAATTTGAAAGAAAATGAGGACTTTAGACAAAGCTTTGACCGTGTAACAAAGGAAATCTGTCCAGATTTAACCAAATTTCAAGAGTAGGTAAGAGCACCTTTAAATTAGCTCTAAGGACATTTCAATTTCTTTATCCCATATGGTATAAAATAACACCAATCTAGTCTTCTTGATAAGCTTTATATGGTAATTTGAATTTCACAAATAGTTTCTCTAATGGTATGCCAAAATCATCTTTGTGTTCTTTTCAGAATTATAACATAGAGCAATGTTTATTCTGGTAACGAGTCTTCTGTAAACAGTCAACCAATGCTATATGTTACAGGAAAACCAATCTACTTGTGATTTAAAACAATCCCCAGGTTCTAACCTGGAAATACTAGGAAAACAATCTTGATGTATTAATCACAGCACTAGGTAGATCTACCCTACAATGTATTTACGTGAACAGCTATCCTAATATAAGTTTTACTTTCCTTGACCCTATAGGCCTGTCATGTAAATCAATGACAGCAGCTGTGGCTTCATCTGGAGACTCAAAGGCCACCATGGCTTCACCTGTGGGCATACATTTTTCATTGTAATTTAAACACACTGAGCCTGGGATTACTTGATAGCCATAAAAGAAATCTAAAGTCTCATCAAGAGACACAGTAAAGGGCATATTCTGCACTTTAATGACTGTTGGTCCTGGTTTTCCAGAACTAGAACCAAAGCCAATGTGGATTGGGCCAGGGCCAGGGCCAGGGCCAGGCCCAAAGGCTGGTGGCCCACTCAAATGACCTGGGGCATTTCCAAGACCAGGAGGGCCCCCTCCAAAGTTAGGAGGGCCACCTAAAGCACCAGGACCATTTCCAAAATTCTGAGGGCCCCTTCCAAATCCTGATGGCCCCTTTAAATTATTTGGTCCACTTCCAAAACCTGGAACATCCAGTCCTAGAGCAGGCAAACCACTGTTTCCAATTGAAGGCATACCAGGCCTACCATCACCAAAGGCCCCTCCTAATCCTGGAGGAGGGAGTGGTGGTCCAAAGTTCGACCCACCAAAATTACTAGGAAAGTTAAAAGGAGGTCCACTGTTGGCCTTCTTTGAGCCTACAGCCAGGAAAGCATGCTCTTCACCTCCTGCACTGGACAATCCCGCACCAGGCAATCCCGCACCGGGCATTCCCGTACCAGGCATTCCCACACCAGGCATTCCTGCACCAGGCATTCCGGCACCTGGTATTCCGGCACTGGGTATCCCCGCACCCGGGATCCCCGCACTGGGGATCCCCGTGACAGGCATCCCCGTGCCGGATATTCCCGCACCAGGTATTCTGGTTCCAGGAACTCCCGCACCAGGCAGTCCTGAAGCTGGCAATCCTGCACCGGGCATTCCTGCAGCAGGCAGTCCGGCATTGGGCATTACTGGAACAGGAGGATTACCTGGCACTGACATCTTTAGTCCCTTTTTTGCCTTGAGCAGGAGGATTTTTCTCAATTTCTCTCGTGTCTTCTAGAGTAAATATATGCACAAAAGCTTCTCTTCCATTAAGTTTTTTACGGTGTAAGCGTTCAGACTTATGTGCATCATCTTTCTTCTTAAATTGAACCAATGCCTGTCCTAGACCTTGTCCATTGTTATCAACAAGAACATGTACAGCATTTTCATCCACTGGGATTTCCTCAAGGAACTGAAGAACATCCATCTTCGTAATACTGAATGGAATATTTGTTGTGTGGGCAGAGACTTTGGCAGAGTTGACATCCCCTTCTGGATTTAATATTTCTCTCTGGTCATAGTTGTAGTTCTGCAGTCTTTTTCTAATCATATCTATCTTTTCTAGCATACCTTTCTTAGTAATTGGGTGAACTTGAATAAATCGATTGCCCATGTATTGTTTATGGCGACAGAGCAGCCTTGTAGTCAGCCTCATTCCTGAATTCTACGAAGCCTTCACCTGTTGCTTTCCCATTGGGTCCATAAGCTATATAAATACTATCTTCCATAATATCTAACTTTTTAAAAAAATCGATGACATGCTTGTTTTCTGCTTCAAATGGTAACCCTTTCAAGTAAACACAAAAACCAGTCTCCTGTGGTGATCTTGATCTTTTCTGCCCACTGGGCGATTTTGACCTGGGAAGCACCTGAGGAGGAATATGGGGTTGCCCAGAAGGTCCCATACTTTGCTTAAAAGTTATATGGCCTCCAGAAGCTGCCCACCGTCTTTCTGTGGCAGGGCTAACTTCCACATAGCGCTGAATCATCAGCATTCTGTTTCTTTTCAAAGTTTCAAGTGTATCTTGAGGTGAAAGAAAGTTGATTAACCCATTCCCATTCTTTCGACCTACGTGATCTTTCAACAAATGTGCTGCATCAACATAGAGCCCATGGAAAATCTCTCTGACATCATTCTCCATTGCAGAAAAGGGCATTCCATGCACACTGACATAGGGATCATCAGGGTTGATGAAAAGTGGCTTCACACTGTTTTGAGAGTTCAAAGGACCCAGAAACACAGGGTTCAGTTATTGTTCAGATTCATAGGTGTCCCAGACTCATTCATTCCAGCAGGCAGAGGTGTTACAAGTGGTGGGTTCAAGGGTCGCATGCCTGACATAGGTGGCAATGTTGTCATGGGTGGCACAGAAGGTACTGGGGGAATTGGTGGCACAGGAGGCGATGTAGGTACTGGAGGAGGAACTGGTTTAGGGGGAATAAATGGCATCAGTGGCAAAGACGGTATAGCTTGGATTGGCAGAATTGGTGGTGGTGGAACTGTGTTCATTGGAGAGGCTGTGCTCAGAATTGTGGAGCTAAATGTTGGGCTCCCAAAAGAAGTCCCCATATTTGGAGGGGCTGTTCCTACGCTGGCTGTGGAAAATGTCTGTATGTTTTTGTTGCTTTCAAGAACAGAAGTAGTTACTAAAGTGGGTGAAAGATTACAAAAGTTGGGTACTGCTGTAGGCAAGTTTACTCTACCACTCATTCCTGAGCTAGGCGGTGGTCCTGATCTGCTAGCATTAGCTGGTGGCATATCTAAGTTGGCAGTTTCAAAACGTCTACGGCTCAGTTCAATCATATTCTGCATTTCCATCTTACTACTCAATAATAATGTTACTTTTGACCCTTTTATTGTACCACCTGTGCACATCATACCAAGCCTTGCATTTTCATCAGTGACAAAAAAGATGAAAGCCTCACCCAGTTCACCCCCTACAATATGTACGCCCCCATCAGGGATGGTCAATCCAGAGAAGAAGCGGCGAATGTCCATGGTACTGGCCACAATCGGAAGACTTTGCAAACGGATGACCACAGCCATGCTGCGCTGAAACCACACACACCTGATAAAACAAGAGATGTATTTTCTTAACAAGAAGTAGAGGCCAAGTCAATCCTATGGGCAACCAATTAAAACCAACTTTTAGACTTAAGCTGGGTAACTTTTGAAAGGCTTAACACTGAAATAATTTTAGGCAACAAAACATTTTTACCGGGGAGAGTTGCGCGGTACCCGAAAGTAGGCCCGAGTTACCCACCACCCACCCCGCAGGAGTGCATCCGCCCGAGGCCGACAGCCCCAGCCTGAGCGGTTCCCACAGACCAGCGCAGTCACCACCTCCTCCAAAATCTCTGTAAGTCTTACGCCTATTGTTTTAGTCACTGTGCCAGACTATCTTCTTGCGATCTAGTCGTCTCTTAAATTGATCCTCTACTTTTCCAAGCATGATATCCTTCTCCAGGGGCTGGCTTCTTCTGCTAACATGTTCAAATTATGTAAGAAGTATCACAAACTTTCTTATGAACTGTATGGCTTTTTCTAAGACAGATTCATTTGTTCCTTTGGTAGTCAATGGCATATCTAAAACTCCTCACGAACATTACAAACCTTTCCCTATGCTATGCCATCTTCCTGAACATACGCTCCAGTCCATTGTTATAGTCACCATGTTGAATTATACCAGAATGAATGGCATGGAATGCAAGCCTAATAGAGATGAGATCCACAGACAATACTCCAAGAAATCGATGCTTTCATAACCTAGTAAAGGTTTTTTTCTACTACTGCTCTTTTCTATAAAGTGTTTGTCAGATAATGTTCTAAACCTGAGCAATTACATTAAGACAGACTAGAAAGACGTATTGGCCATCCACTTCTGAAATAGCAGGACTTTGAAAACCCTATGTACAATAGAACACACTTAGACTAGCAGATATGGCAACTGAGGCTGAGTCCTCAAGTATGGAAACAAACAGAAGGAGGAACAGCTGTAAGCAGACACTAGAACATAGACATTGGAACATGGAATGTAAGAACCATGAATGTAGGAAAATTGGATATTGCTAAAAAGGGAAATGGAACACACAATTATTGACATATTAGGTATTGGTGAAATGAGATGAACTGGCCTGGGACATTTTGAGTCAGAGGATCATATGATCTTCTATGCTGGAGACGAAAAAGGTGAGGAAAAAATGGGGTTGCTTTCAAAGTAAAAAAGTCATTTCTAGATCCGTCTTGAAGTACAATGTTGTGAGTTACAGGATAATATCTATATGCATACAAGGAAGATCAGTGAATGCTACCATCATTCAAATATATGCACTAACCACCAGAGCCAAAGAGGAGGAAACAGAAAATTTCTACCAACTTTTACAGTCAGAGATTGATTGAACATGCAATCAAGATGCATTGATAATAATGGGTGATTGGAATGCAAAAGTTGGGAACAGAGAAGAAGGATCATCAATTGGAAAAAATGGACTTGGTGACAGAAACGAAGCCAGAGATAGAATGATAGAATTTTGCACAATCAATGACTTATTCATTGCAAATACATTTTACAAGACACACAAACACAGGTTATAGACATGGATTTCAACTGATAATATGCATTGGAATCAGATCTATTACATCTGTGGAAAGAATCTCTGGAGAAGGTCAATATCAGCTATGAAAACTAGACCAGGTGCTGACTGTGGAACAGACCCCCAACTACTCATAAGCAACTTCAAGCTGAAGCCGAGGAAAATGAAGTCAAGTCCACAGGAACGAAAATTTGACCTTGAGTCTATCTCACCTGAATTTCAAAACCATCTCAGGAACAGGCTTGAGGCCTTGAACACAAGTGAGTGAAGACTAGATGAGCTGTGGGAAGATATCAAGAACATCATTCAGGAAGAATGCAAAAGATCATTACAAAGACAGAGGAGGAAGAAAAAAACTAAGATGGATGTCAAAAGAAACTCTTAATATTGCACTGGAGTGATGAGAAATCAAGCTATTAAGGAGCTGAACAGAAGATTGCACAGGGAAGAGAAGAAAGATAAAGTTTTACAATGAAATGTGCAAAGAGCTGGAGTCAGAAAATCAAAAGAGCTGAACTCGCTGAGCATTTCTTAAGCTCGAGGAACTGAAGAAGAAATTCAAACCTCGAGTTTCAATACCTAAGGATGCTTTGGGAAGACTATTAAATGATCCAGGAAGCATTAAAGGAAGATGGAAAGAGTATACAGAGTCATTGTACCAAAAGGAATTGGTGGACACAGAAGAATTTCATGAAACAATGTATGAACAAGAGCTTGGGTGAAGAAGGAAAAAGTTCAAGCTGCCCTGAAAGAATTGGCAGAAAACAATGCCCCAGGAACTGATGACATACCAATTGACATATTTCAACAAACAGATGCTGCCCTGGAAATGCTCACCAAGTTGTACCAAGAAATTTGGAGGACAACCACCTGGAGTACTGACTGGAAGAGATCTGCATTTGTTCCCATTCCAAAGAAAGGTGACCTGACAGTTGTTGTTGTTATGTGCTGTCGAGTCACTTGCAACTCATAGCGACCCTATGTAGAACAGCCCTAAGCTCTGTCCTCTGCCAATTGCACCCTTTCGATACACCCATCCCGATTACCCCAGTCACTGAATCAGTCCACATCATAGAGGGCCTTCCCCTCCTGCGCTGTCCCTCCACCCTCCCAAGCATGATGTTCCTCTCCAAGGACCTGTCCCTCCTTACAAAGTATGTTAGACGGAGCCTCAGAATCCTTGCCTCTAAGGAGCCGCCCGGTTTAACCCTCTCCAGGATGAATATGTTTGTTTTCCTAGCAGTCCATAATACTCTCAATACTCTTCTCCAGCACCACAGCTCAAAGGCATCAATTCTTCTATCCTCCTTAGTCACTGTCCAATTCTCTGATGCATAACAAGTGATTGCAAAGACCATGGCCTGTATCAGGTTCACCTTAGTCTCCAGAGAGACACCATTGCTCTTCAGTACTTTGGAGAGGTTCCTAATAGCAGACTTTCCCATGGAAATACGTCTTCTAATTTCTTGGCTACTGGTGCCAAAATTGTTGACTGTGGAGCCAAGCAAACTAAAGCTGTGAACAATCTCAATCTCTTCACCATCCATCCTGATGCTGCCAATTGGCCCAGTGGTGAGAATCTTTGTCTTCTTGACACTGAGCCTCAATCCATATTGGAGGCTTCAGGTCCTGACAGAGTGTGGAAATTATTGAACGATATATTGATATCACATGCAAGCAAGACTCTGCTGAAGATTATCTTAAAATGACTGGAATAGCACATCAACAGAGAAAGAACTACGAGAAGCACAGTTTGGGTTTAGAAGAGGCTGTGGTCCTAGGGATATAGCTAATGCTAGCTAATGTTAGACAATAATATTGGCAAAGGATAGAGCAAAGTTTAGGGCTGTTGTACATAGGGTTGCTATGAGTTGCAGGTGACTTAATGTCACATAATAACAACAACAACAACAGCAGTAAAGGTTAGGTTAGTACAAGTCATAATTGGAATATGTTTATTTTGGTTCAACTTCCTGGTAAGAATTTTCATTTCACCTCTGATACACTGAGTTATTTATTATCTGCATTTTATAAAAATATGTGTATCTTTGCTGTGAAGCTGAACCCTGTGACACTGATGTGTCAAATGTGTTAATGGCTACCCATGGCGGACAGTGTTTGGTGGAGCTCCCCAATTAAAACAAGCTTGGAAGCAGGAGTGGCTTCCACTTTCATAATAGCTTGCCTCTGGAAACCCTATGAACCTGGAGAGAGGATAAAAGTCACACAAGTGTTGAGGACTCTCCTTCATGGGGACGCCATGAATCACCTACAACTCAACTTAACATGTGTATCTTATCTTTGTGGTTTCTAGGTGTCATCACGTTGTCTAGGACTCATAGGACTTGATGAACAACAGATCTGAACCTTACCATATCCTTCACCATCCTCACATATTCAAGCCTATTGTTAATGTGCCAATTCATCTTGTTGAAGTTCTTCCTTTCTCTGACCCTCCACCTTTCCCAGGTTGATGTCTTTTTCTAAGAACAAAACCCTCCTGACAACATGACCAAAGTATGTGAGATCAAGTTTCCTTTTCCTTGACTCTAAAAACCACCCTGGTAACACTTCCTCCAAGACAGACTTGTTTGTTCTTTTGTCTGTCTATGGGATATTTAGCAATCCTCTCTAATAGTGCAATTCAAAGACATTGATTCTTCTATCATCTTCATTCATTGTTCAACTTTCAGATTCATAGGAAACAATTGGAAAGACTATGACTTGGATGAGATGCACTTCAGTCTTCAAGCTGATGTCATTATTCTTTAGTCCTTTGAAGAGGTCCTTGATAGAAAATTTTCCCAATGCCAACATATCTTTTGATTTCTTTACTGCTGCTACCATGGGTATCAATTGTGTGCATCCAAGTGAAATGAAATTGTTGACAATGTCAGACTTTTCTCCACCTATCATGATGTTACCTTCTGATCCAGTGCTGAGGATTTTGTTTTCTTGATGTTGAAATTTAACTCATTTTGATCTTACATATATATCAGCATAACCTGAGGAACTTGTTAATATGTAGATGCTAATTCAATGTATTTGTATATCTGATATATTTAGCATTTCAGCAATTTTGAATGAATTAGTTCAAAGCATAAGAATGTTGGTTAGCATTGCTCCCCTTGACACAATCTGTTCTCTAGATGACTTTAACTCCTGGAGGTGGTCTATCATCCACAGCTCACACTGTTTTCTAGTCTCTGAGTAAATGGTGTAGAGGGAAAGTAGATGTCATCAGCTTTGGACTAATCAGAGACAAGACTTTCAGTGGTTAGTAAATCTGTGATTGAGCTTTGCAGGGGGGAAACCAATATAATTCAATTGATAATTTAAAGACCAGGTAACAGGAGAAAATAAAATAGAGGGAAGAACAAGGGTTTATAATTAGTTTGAACAAATTCAGTCATAACCAAGGAAGCAAAATTGTAAGAAACCTAAATTTTTAAAATTTGGATGAAATAGAGTAACTATAGTGGAAAAAGTTATTAGCTGAAGTGCTGGAATGGGAGACTTGGAAGGGACAGACATAAAGAGTCCTTCTGGGAGCCTGATTTTAGTGATTAAATTATCAATGGATATATGTACACCCATGTTTATTGCAGCCTTGTTCACAATAGCAAGGAGTTGGAAACAACCTAAGTGCCCATGAACAAAAGAATGGCTAGAGAAGCTGTGGTATATTCGCACAATGGAATACGATGCTGCATTAAAAAACAAGGAACTCATGCAATATTATTCAAAATGGTTGACT